TATCTATATCGTCCGTATCTATATCTATACCTACACATTAAAGATCAACCACAAGCCTGAAAAGCCTGAAATGACTCTAAATCACTGGAAGACCTGAGAACAGGCTCCATCCTCCCTGAATCCCAATCCAACATTCTAGGCTGATGAATGTCAATTAAATGCACAATGTAAGTTAATGAAGCCTTAAGTGTTTTAGAAAAGCAATGTAAACACACAAAAGGATTGGCCATAAAATTCAGCAAAACAAACAATCCTGCGCCTTGGATTCATAAACCTTCTAAGTCATTTCAAGTCCCTTGTGACCTGCGGGGCTGCTCTCACACATCTGCTCCCAGGGACTGCAGCTCAGACACTTAGGAACGGTGACTAGGGCAAGTTTTTTCCTTCTTTCTGTTTTTTGTTTTTTTTTTGTAATGTGCAGTTCATCGCCCAGTACAGCTGCAGAGACCTGTGTGGTTCTCACACCGAAAAAAGAGCAGAGAAAGCAAGAAAAAAATGAACATCATGCGTTTTTGTGACATTCAGTGTGCAAGGATGCCAGAACGGCTCAGGTGTCAACCCAATGTCGAGCCACCTTTGGCAATGGCCGAAGACCACCCCACAGGAGCGTGCACAGAAACCACGGCAAAGCCAAGGAGTCTGAAGGCAGAAGTGATCCCACACACCCTCAGAACTGGGGAGGGGGGTCGGTCAAGCGGTTGCTCCGTTGCTTCTCTAACCAGGAGGAATTCTGTTGTAGCTGCACCACACCTCCCTCCCGCTGCCTGCACACAATCGAGGCAGAAGAATCTAGAACACTGAATACCTATGACCTTGATCCCTTTTTAAACAAGTGCTTTGTGGAGGAGAGTTGGCAAATACTGCATCGTTGTTTTTAACTTTGGAATTTTGCTTTCTGGGCTATGTAATGTGTACATGGCCCAAGTTGAATGAGAATATTCTGAATATTCAATTTTTTAAAGATTTTTTATGTATTTACTTTTAGAGAGAGAGGAGGGGAAGGAGAAAGAGAGGGAGAAAATCATCAGTGTACCAGAGACACGTGGGTCATTTGCCTCTTGCTCACCCCCAACTAGGGACCTGGCTCACAAACCAGGCCTGTGCCCCAGCAGGGAATCAAACGGGCCATCTCTGAGGACACAGGCTGGCAATCAGTACATCTAGCCATGCCAGCCGATTAGAATTAGAGTATTAGAGCTGATTTAGAATATTCTTTTTTTAAATGTTGCAGAGTTGTTCCTCTCCAGTATAAACAGTTGAGTTGATCTGATCGGGAATGCACCACTGATGTTCACTCTGTAGGTTTCCAGCGATGCTTACAGAAAGCACTCTGAGAACTAGACAAATCCCCACCACTGGACTCCCTTTTCTAAGTACCCAGTAATGACATCACTAGGTATATGTCACTATCAATATCTTGGTAGCCTCTGCTTTTTCACATAATGGACTGATGAAGACATCGGTAACTACAGACTCAAACCTTAACACACTGTCTGATTATCCACAGGCCTTCAGCCATGGCTTCCAACTCCAGAGGTTCTAATATTTATACTTGATCTTAGAAATGCCATACCTTTTATTACAAGCCAGTAGTTCTAAAAGCTAAGAATGGAGAAGAATTCAAAGAAAACGGGAAAGAGGTAAGGACACTCAGGTTGGGAAGATGCTTTGAACAAAGGCACAGGAAAGACAGCCTGGGACAAGCATAGAGAGGCAGCGATAGTTGTGTGTGGCCGAAACTCACAGTGCTTGGGGGTATCTCCTGAGAGTCAAGGGTAATTTGGGGCCCCGAGAAGGAAGATTACACAAAAGTGTTGTTTTACGTCTTACTCAGTGGAGAACAGGGAATCAGAGGCTTCAGACCAGAAGAGTGATACAGCTGACAGGAGCAGGGTTTGGGGGGATTTCTCCACCAACCTGAAAAATGATCAATTGGAATGAGGCGTGATGAAAGTGGGGAGACTGATTTAGAGGCAACTCTAACAGTTGAGTAAAAAATGATCAGGATACCAGACCAAGGCAACATCAATGCCCTAATAATGATTGTAATAATTTGTCTCACTGAACCAAAATACCAGGCCTTCATTCCACACTGGGGCCTTTACAAATAAAAGAAAACACTCAAGGACTCGGGTATGAATGTCATGTTTCTTAACAGAGACCCTGGCTCAGGCGGTAGTTTTTACACAATGACAAGTATGATGAAGACGGAGTGCATCACTTACATTAAAATATATTAAGGGTGCATGTGGAGAAGTCCCTGGTGAACTACACAAGAGATACGTTATTACTAGTCAAGTAAACCGCAGTCAAAGCACAGCTCTGCTAATGCAGGTCTTAGCATCTGGTAATACCTAACGAGATCGCGTGAACACTCTCCAATTTTCTTGAAGTTCCTTGGTATTTATGTCTGAAAATTCACCTGCAATCCCTCTTAGGTCTTATTAAAGGGGTGTACTTTGTGCCTGTACTCTGCCAAATATGTGGAAATCCAATGTCTTTCAAAAGTAACTTTTAAAAAGACCTCCTGTGCTTTGCTTTGTCTGGTGTGTACCTTGTGACAACTATATTTCAGACAGCTCTTGGCTGTGTTAGTACAACCATAAGGCTGTTTTCTTCAATTACTCAGTTGTAGTATTCTACTAATGGGGGTGAAGTTCTATGCAGTTAACAGAACTCTTTTACAATAATTTTGTTCAATCCCTAATATATAATCACTTTTAAAATTATATGACAAAAGGGAAAACACAGCTTTAAATTCATATTATTCCCTGAAAAGGCAAATGATAGGCTACATTCATACCACATTTTACCTCAGTGTTTTCAATGGCAAAATCGCACCTCAGAATGTCATTAAAATGAGTCATAGGAATTAGGAACATTTGCCGCGCAGAAGGCAGCCTGATGTGGTGCAAGGAATATGGTCCAGTTCTGCCTGACTCTGCCACTCACTAGTTCTGTGACCTCAGGCAAACCCCTAACCTCTCCGAGATTCCATTTCTTCAGCAGTCAAATCCTAATAAACGCACTTTCTTCACAGGGCTGTAATGACTAAAGGAGATTCCATTTGTACAGTGTCTGGTCACTTCCCCATACTTCCAGTATGAAGACCATTGTTAAAACACAAGTAAGTCTTGGTCATTTCCATTAAAAATGAGTGTGAAAATAATATCAATATCATGTTACATTTACTGGGTGATTGTACATGCTATTCTCAGTGTGAAAGGACTTTTAATACAATAACCCTACACAGAAGAAGCAGCCTTATTTTACAAATATTGAAACCAACGCTCAGAAAGCTGAAGCTACCTGTCCAAAATCATAGAAAGTGGTGAAATCCAGAACTGTCAATTCCATGGGAACACTCGTCATTCGTTTGTTCAGTATTTACAGATGGTCTGCTTGTGCCGGGTACCAGCTTGTGACAACGGATTACTGATAGACAACGTCCCATGGCCTTGCATGTTACAGCCTCAGGTGGGAAACAGACGTTGAACAGAGAGAAATCAAATACTGTGTATTTTAGAAAGTTATACGTTGATGGATAAAATTAAGCAGGAGAAAGTTAATAGAAAGTGTCAGGCATAAGGGAAGTTGAAGAAGGCCTTATTACAAAGTGATGTTTGAGAAGATGTGAAGGAAGGGATGGAGGCAAGCAGACATCGGGAAAGAGTCATCTAGACAAGGGAACAAAAAATTGCAAAGGCCTGTGCTGTGTGCATGACGAGTGCGTGACTAGTGCGTGTAAGGAACAGCAAGGGGCCCGGGTGCCTGGGCAGGGTGCTGGTGCAGGGGAGCGTGCAGGGAGAAGAGGTCTGGGAGGCAGCATCCAGTACAGCAGCCCTGGAGGCCACTCCGCACCTGGGCTCTCCTCCTGTGTGAGGCAGGGAACAGGAGAGCAGCACAACCTGACCTCCACGGCAGAAAAGCCACTCTGCCTGATGGTTGGAAATGTATCAGCTGCTGGATGCATTTGAAAGGAGGAGCTGACAAGATGTACCGATGGACTGGAGGTGCACATGGCTTGGCGAAACCCAGAATGAAATCGCCATTTCCTGAAATGGGCAGTGCATTTCCTGAGATGAACACCCTATGAAGCGGATAAGGACAACAGAATAATAATTAACATCTGTGAGCGCTTCTTATGGATTGGGCTCTTGGCAAGCACTTTTCATGCATTATCCCAATCAGTTCTTATACCAACCTTTTGGATTTACCAGTGATGAAACAGATTCAGAAAGGTTACAATCTGCCCAAGGTCACATAGCTACTAACTAGCAGAAACAAGTAAAAATACCTGCATATGACCAAAGGTCAATACTGTTTATACTACTGTGTTCACTACACTGAGAAGCATAGAATACAAAATCAAGTTCCACTGGGAAGGAAGTAAGAGTATGAGGATTATGGGTAATGGGATATCCGAGCCTTAAAAAGGAGAAAAACCAAACATATTTCCCTGCAGTAAGGAGAGGTCTTAAAATATTATCTTGAATTATCAGATGAAAAGGCAGGTGTGAGATGACATGTAACATTTTACATAATGCAAGTCCTTAATGCGGGTTTTAAAAAATACAAATATCAATAATACCAGAAGTGAAGTTAGAACTTCTTACTTTTAGTCCAATATAAGAGACCACGCAGCCTTTTAAATAAAAAGAAACCTTTTAAGTCAATCAATGAAACCACCATAAGTGTCTTTGCATATACCAAATGGCATTTGAAGTACCCTAGCTAATTTGGAAGCTCACACCCACAAATTACTTCCTAGCCTTTCTGTCCATGTGTTTTTCCAACCTTAAGTGATTTGGTCCCCTCGTTCTTACCCTGCAGTCCTTGGGGACAGCAGAGCACTGAACCAGTGCAAGCTTTCAAAACAGAGAACCTGAATGCAAAGGAGACCCAGGTTTCTCTTCTAACACAGACATTGTCAACTTCTCACTAAAATGGCAAAACATGGATGAGCCTTTTCACGTTATGAAGTTGAAACATAATTGGCAATGGGTTCTCTAAACATGTTTGGAGCTCCTTCTCAGCAACATCTGTTCATGATAAGGAATCTAAACGCAACTCTACAGGAAGTAAGAGTTAATTTAAAAAAATAAAATTCACTCATACCTAAAATTATATTTTTAGTGAGTGGAAGTTTTAAAGAAGCAAATTAAGTAAAACACACAAGTACTGGTTTCTGATCACAAGGATTAGAGGGAGGTGGGATGGGGGTGGGGAGTACATACCTGAGTCAAAAGGTCAAAATCCACAGTCTGAGTTAGAAACTACATGGCAGAAACTCGATAATTGACAATAAAACAAAAAATACCTTTTACAGGGATGCTACTGCTCTTTATATTCCATAAATTGGAAGAACTTTTTTTTCCTGAAAACAAAGCAGAACCCTGAAATCTTCCTAGAAGTCCTTCTATGGTTTTCAAACAAGATATCTCTTATACATTACTTTTATTCAACATACTTCTACTCAAAAAAAGTATTTTGGTTCATGAGACTTAAATCCACACATAAATACTGAAACAAGCATTTCATGTTTACTTCTCTCTCTCTCTCTCTCACACACACACACACACACACACACACACACACACACACACACACAGAGTTTATTGTTCCCTAGCTGGTAGAATGAATAATGGCAGCTGAACTGTTATCACATGGGTCAAACAGACTTGTGGGCCTGCAGCGATGCCGAAAATGGGGATCAGCAAATAGCTTTATTTAGTTATGATCCAATTAGTAAACACACGAACACTCCAGTGCTGTCGCTGTTGTTGTTTTTAAGCAGGACACCAATAACTGCAACCTGTTAATTTAATTAACCAATGATAATAAAGCTTCTACTCAATCCCTAGCACCCGAACTAGTGAAGCGAGAAAAGTTCAAGGTCTGTTCTGGAGACGTCCCGTACCCCCGGAGCTCAGGAGTTGGAGGGTTACCCCCCAGCAGCCTCCGCCCAGCGGACTCCCCTGCCCTTTCTCCGAAGGGCCCGGGGTCTGCCCCCTCCCAGACGCTGCCCTGCCTCCTGGCCCGCCATCCCTGGGAAATAGAGGAAGACAGGGGCCCGGGGCGCTGGGGCCGGGCGCCCGCCCGCCTCCGCATTCTCGGGCGTGGAGGCACCGGGAGGCACCGGGAGGCACCGGGGCTGCGGGCAGCTGGCCGCCAGGGCTGCGCAGCGGCTGGACCGCGCGGCGGGGGAGGCGCGCCCAGCGGCGGGCCGCGTACTCACCGGAGGGGGCCGCGCGGGCTCGGGGCGCCTGCACGCCCGGGACACGGTCAAGCACAGCCCTCCGGGGCGCCCACGGCCTCGCTGGGAAGCGCGGCGAGACAGACGGGCGGCGTCTCTGCCGCGGCTGCTGTCACCGAGCTATAAATACCGGCTCGGCCCACACCCGCCGCCGCCTACGCCGGGCGCCCTCCGCACAGTCCGCCGGCCGCGGGCCGGGCCGCGGGAGCGCAAGGGCGACGGCGCAGCGCAGGTGACCGCTGCGGCTCCAGCTGTGCGGCAACCTTCGCAGCTGGAGGCATGGCCTCCCGCCGCCCCCGCCCGCCCGCTCTCCCTCCGCTCCCCTCCCTCCCGCGGCGCCGGCGACTCCAGCCCGCGGGCCGTGCGCGCCGCGGCAGAGCCTGCCCGGGCCAGGCCCGCTTCTGCAGAACCAGCGGATGCGGGTGGGGGACGATTTAGGAACCGGGAGGGGCGGGGAGGGGGTTTGGAGGCGGCCGGCTTCAGCCCTGCGTCTCAGCAGCGGTCCCTTCTTCCTGGGGGAACCGGCAGACTTCTGAAACCCATCATCCTGCAAGGGACCAATGGGGTTCCCAGGTGGAGGGTGCATCTAGAGCCGCAAACTTTCTAATGCAGCCTCAGGTCAAAAGCATCCTTTCTGCTGTAGTCTCTTGGTGGCGGGGAGGGGTGGGGGTGGGAAGAGACAGAGCCTGTGAGGAGTATAAGTCTTACACTTACTTTCCAGCCTGTATGGTCTGACACGCATATGCAAATATATCCACACATATTTAGAAGCACAGACATAAGTTCATATATACTTAGAAATGAACATATATATACATATATATGCCTACATATGTATAGCCACATATAAAACCACACAGATGTTATAAGTACACACACACACACACACACACACACACACACACACACAATTTTTAACTTTTTTGCAGCCCGAAATTCTCAGGAGCCTATCATTCTGTAGTTCATGCTGAAATGATGCATCTGCAGCTTAGAGGAGGAGGGCCCTTTGACCACCTTTTACCAATGGTTTTCTTCTGGATGTAATCCCTCTTCCAGTTGATCTACCTGTGGCCTGTGTTTCATTCCACAACCAGTAACAACTGCTACATCAGTTTACAAGTTGCTTGTAATGTACTAAAAGCTGCTACCCAGCGTGCTAATTCCATGCTAATGGAAGTGATCACTAATTCATATGTCAAAAGGGAACTAGGATAATTCACATAGACCTACAGTAGCAAACTGATGAGAAAACTAGCCCTTCTCCTGGACTGGCAGCATGATTCAGAAATGGGCCTGGTAGCTGGAGGGAGAGGTGTGTAGCATCAGCAGATTTTACAATGGATTGGAGAGAGCCATTGCCAGGTCCTATGAGGTGGTTGATGGACGCAGTGATGATTGGGAGCTCGCTGCCATAGGTGTCCGGAGTTTGACATCTTTTCTAGCTTCTAAGAATGAACACGTTTTTCTACATTGTAGGCATAGTTTGTGATTGCAGGATGGACCTCTTAGCTTAGTAAGGTTCTCTTTAGTGAAGCTTTCCAAAGTTTTCCCAGAGAATTATTTCCTCTGCTAGAACTCTTCATTTAACTATGATACTTCTTACATCTTGCTGTAGTTTATTGCAGCATGTTTTTCTCCCCCACTAAACTATATACCTTTTGAAGTTGGAGACTAAATCTCTGTCACCTTTGTGTCCTTAACAACTAATGCAGTCTCTTATGGTAACAGCTCAATATATAGTGGATTAATCCTATAGATTAATCATTAGATTCTACTGTGCTTTTATACTTATGATTAGGATTATTTTACAAAGAATCGCTGTTTAACATGGGTTTCACGTTCCATCTGTTCCTTGTATCTCCATTTAAAGTAAGGAGTCTTCATTCAGTTCAAACTAAAGAATATCAAAGCTTTGTAAACAATGCAGTCTAATGCTGAGATCTGTGGCTTATTATCCCCTCCCCCTCAAAACACAGAAGGCACTTTTCCTGTCATTGAAAGACAGTCTATAAAACACATTGTATCTCAAAAGCTGGTAGGGTAGAAAATATTGAGCAGCTTCTCTTCTGCCTATTTGAGAAATAGAACTCATTCTACTTCAGGATCAATTGAATTGCATGGGTATCTAGTGGGATGAACTCAGTTAATCAGAACTGAAATGTCCAGCTCCAGTTACATGCAGCTCGTTTCCCTACCTTTAAATCCCTGTCTTTACACAGGTCTGGCTTCCTTTAATAATAATTTTAAGAATAAACTCAACCAATGCTCATTATTCGCTCTTATGTTAGAGCTCTCGGGGCCTAAAGAATGTAGTTCTCCAGGACCACTTCAACTCAAAATACTGAAACAGGCAAGGCTTCTTCACTGTCAGTGCTCCCTTTCCACTGCCAACCGAGAAGCTCTTGGCTTCAGCAGCCACCCAGGACCTCCATGTTAGCCCTACCTGAGGACCAGGCTGGTACAGCCTCTACACTTGATCCTTGTCACAATAATATGCAGTGACAAAAGCTCAACTTGTTGAAGGCTTATTATATGCTGGGCCCATTCCATCTATTAAAACGTTTGATCTCTGCAACAGACCTGTAAGGTAGATGCTGCTAGTAACATTTCCATATTTACCTTTGAGAAAAGAGCCCCAGAGAAACTGAGTGGTTCATGACTAGCCAGAGTGATGGGTTGAGGATCAAAAGCCAGCCCACACTTTAGCCCCTTATCTTAGACTTCCTCCCCAGAGACCAGGAAAGGGATGTGGGTTTTACAGTCAGGAAACCTGGAATAGGGAGAAATGGTGTGAATTTTGGTTCTACCACTTAGGAACTCGAACCCTAAGCAAATTGCTACTTTAGAATTACAATAAAAATCCCTAGATCAGCCTTTCTCCACCTTTGAATTTGTGAGATATTAGATTTATATATGAACTTAGGAGTTCAAAGTAGGTTATTTGGCCTGTTTAAGAACAGATCCTACTCAGGATTTAAACTACTGTTCTCTCTATTCTACAGTCTCCTTCCTTCTCAGTCACTACCACAAAGACCTGTTAGGAGTTTAAATTCCGTGTGTGGCGGGCACCTACATACTGTCAAGTAAATAGTAGGTGCTCAATAAAAGCCATTATACCCTCACATCAAAATTTACAATTCTATGAAAGCTTTTCTTAGGACCCAATTCTACTGGCCTGATACACAGAGGTAACTGCTTACTCACAGCATTTAAAAATTGTATAAAAAAAAGTCAATAAGTAATTAAAAGGGTATAGATAGAAGCCCCAAGAAGAAACCAAGATGGCAGAGCATCAGATGTCTCACTCACCCCATCCATATTTTAGCCCAAACAGGTTCATTTCTTTTCTGTACAGTTATTCAGCAAATTAGGCACAATTTCAGACAGTGTCAGGACAATAGCAGAAATAGCATAAGTAGGGAACTTTCAAATCACACTATCCAAACATCTGCCTATTCCATTTCCATATACAAAGTCAACCCTGCAAACAGGCTTAAATATGTCTCATTTATATATAATTCCTTTGTAAAATCTGACCTAAGAATACAAAAATGACAAGTAACTATATGAGACAATGTTTTTCTGTTCATCTCACATGCCTCAGTAGGTTAATAATACAGTTACACTCTGTGGGGAAAAAAGAGACAAGCTCAACATACATTTCAAAAATTGGTGAAAATTTTGATTGTGACTAAAATGTAATATCCTCCCGAGATGACCCTTTTAAAGCAAAAGGGAACAGTAGCTGAAAGCATCAATAATCCTTACCAAGTCAGTCAGGAAATACTTTCATCAGTGATTTGATAGATTCCAGACAAACTATTTTTAACTTCCAATAGGTCAATCAGGATGATGCTAATTGCCTGCTCCAAATATGAAGAACATAATGTCCTTATTCCCAAAGAGGCAAGAATAGAAATTTGAACATGGCCCACAGTTTTCTTCTGATAGTCAAAGGCTAGCAGCTGCTGCTCAGGATTTTCCTCAACAGTCCTAACTGCAAATGCCCAGTCCTATTGTACCCAATGGTCACTAACATATTTAAGGCCACCTGTCCTGAATTTTGATTGAAAAAATGTGGTCACCGCCTGTCTACTGCATGAAATACTAATGCTTGTGGACTGAAATCCTGGTTCTGCCACAGAACAGTGATGTGATATTAAGCAAATTACTTAACTCTCTGTACAATAGTAATACCTGCCTCACAGGTTGGAGAAAGATTAAATAATGCTACACTTTTAACATTTGTTCTGCTACATGTTAAGTTCTCCACAAATGCTCTTTTTATTATCATTATTGTTCATCTCACGCCTGCCCTGCTTATATTCTGCATGTCCCAGAGTTTCTTTTCCCAAAGGACTGACTCTTCTAGCCTTCACTTTAGCCTACAAATGACTGGGCAAAGGAATTTTGTACAGTTTTTAAGGCAAAGGAGCCGTGCAATCAGAGGGTGAGCTAGCAGTCACAGCAGAGACAGAGCCGTCACCTTCTTGGTGGCCAGCCTCAGCCCTGACTCCTACGTGGACTGTCCTGAAGTGGCTTGCATAATTGGCAACAGTTCTGGCCAAGAGCCACTCCTCTTGTGACGACACAGAGGGGCAACCATCTCCCTGCCCGCTCCCTTCAGTTCCTTTCGCCGCCTCTTCTTGCCGCCTCTGCCCCACCACGTGCTTGCTTACGCAGAGGCCCTCAGAACCGACCAGCGCCTGACTTCCAGGGAGCAGTGCCTGCTAGAAGTTGCTGATGACTTCACCCGCTGCAATGTGACTGCAGGTTTTAAATGGCAAATTTGCCTTTGAGCACTTTTAACCTCACTTTGTCTTTCTTTTTGCTTGATTTCTTCTGAAACAAATGGTCTTCCTTGCTCTGTTTGCAATAGGCCCACTTAGACAAGTTTTGATAGATCTAGCCCAAGGGAGGGGAAAAGCTTAATTTAGGGGAACACAAAAATATACTGGCCCTGAAGAGTCTTTATTTCATGTAAAGCACCAAATCTATCCCCCGGTTAATAAATATAACCAAAGCAACCAGTATATCAGAACACTGCAAGGTGCTGAGCTTTCGAAGATAAATACAATGCTTCTGTTTCCTCAGGAAAATCACCATGTAAATGAGCAGACCAGAGAAGGCTTACCATCACCATAAATAGTAATACAAGGTGGCATATGATTAGGGTGAAGTGAGTTTTACTGACAATAAAGGCTACAGAAATATGAAATGAAGAAATGAAACTACCCTTAAAAGTTGCTGTAGAAGACCAGATGGAAGAAGAAGCTTGAGGCAAACATTGAGAGATAAAGAGAATTTAGATAAGCAGAAAAGGCAGGAAACAGGAAATTCCAAGCAAAAGGGTACAGCACAAAAACAGGGCTCATTACCCAGAAGGTTCTCGACAAATATGGAGGAAGCGGAGCAGAAAGGCCAGGATGAGGTCAGGAGAGAAAGTGGGGTGAGGAGAGGAAGAAGAGAAGCCAGTCGGAACAGGAATACTATGGTTCCTTTGCAGGAGTGGCTAGTAGGGGTTAGTGAAACGCGTCACTTGAGGAAGAAGAGAGAGCCAAGTTGTTGAGAACAGACTTCACAGTTCCAGCCATTTTAACAGTAAAA